CAGATGATGTGGATCTCAGATGGGGACCTTAGGACCTCCCACTCCATCATGGACACAATCTAGGCCAGGTCGACTAAGATACCATCCTAGTTAACAAGGTGAACCAAGAACTGCACCACATGTAACAAAAATTAAATTTAGAGAACTTCAAAAAAAAATTCACTCCCGCCTGAAGGTCCCAAGAATATCTCTCAGATGCTCATCATGTTGCACCTTGGTCTTAGAATAGACCAAGATATCATCGATAAATGAAATCATCGAACCGTCCAACATCGACCCACACACCCAGTTCATGAGATCCATGAATGTTGTCAATGCATTGGTGAGCCCAAAATGAATCATTACAAAATCATAATGACCATAACAAGTTCTGAAATATGTCTTCTACATATTCTCATCCCTGACCCTCATCTGATGATAACCCAACCTCAAATCAATCTTAGAGAACCAAGATGTACCATGAAGTTAATCAAACAAATCGTCGATCCTCATCAATTTAGAGACGATAAGCATCCAAAAGTGACTTTTTGATAGAAGATTATTTAGAATGAATAATCTTAACTAATTTGTAGTATATGTCACAAGGATTCCGTACATATAAAGAACGCCGAAATCCGAGTTATAACGAAGAAGTTATGACATGTCGAAGTTTCGCGACAGAACCAGCACAACGCTGAATGACGTAAAAAGTGAATTTATGTTAGAGTGATATTTAGCCTTAGTAATCTAAATGAAAGTCGTAGATTTCGTTAAACCGAGAGCGTGCATAAAAAGAATGCCCAAATCTCACTTCGTATGAGGAAGTTATGATTTTTCTAAGTTTCAGCTTAGCAGTATGCAGCCCGAAACTCGAATTCGAGATCGAGTGATTGCTGGTTGAAACAATCTAAACGAGAATCCAAGATCTCGTTGATGGTAGTGCAACGGTAAAAAGACAGATGGAAACGGACGTCGGATGAAAAAAATTATAAATTTATAACAGAGTTTTCCTGTCCCGGCCTACTAAAATAATATAATAAAAATAAAGTCAAAATTAGCCGACGGAGCCTAAACGAAAGTTGTAGAGCTTAGTCTCACCTAGGTGTCATATAAGGAACGTCGAAAACGGAGTTCGTATGAAGAAAATATGAATTTATGAAGTTTTTAAATAATTAAAATATTTTAATTTAAATATAAAATCGGATAATATTGAAGGCATTGACGCGTCGGTCCTATCCACCCGGTACGCCTCGCGTACCTAGATGTACGCCCAACGTAATCCCAGTTCCAGCACCCTATAAATAGATGTTGAGGGCTGCCGAGTTTTGGTGCTCCATTCTTCCCTTTCTCTCTCGTTTTGCATCGTTTTGCATGCAAGAAATATCCCAAAACCCCGGTATTAATCCCGAGCCCCGAAGTGAGTCCCGAAGCCCCGAAGATCCTGAGAAGTAAAATTCCAGAGCCAAAGCTCTGCCCGCGAGAAGCCCGGTTTTTGGAGAAAACATTCCGGTTTCATCGGAAAAGATTATTTCAAGAGACGAGGCGCGGTCCGATCACCTTCTAATCAAGTGAGTGTATCGTCTCTTTCATAAACACGATTTTAATACAAGTATTGTTTGAATGTATTAAGTATATGTTTTGGATGAGTGTGTAGTCACTTTCTTCTAACACATAAATATGAAGTATTTGCTATGAAATACGTGCTATGTGTTTATATATTATTGATTATTTGAAATAGGTGTGGAGTGGATGTTTTATATAGGTTTTAAATAAGTTAAACTGTATATGTATTTTATATCTACAAATATGTTGGGTAGAACATGGGTAGACGAAATAGTTGGTGTGTAATGAATGATGAGTTTGAGGATGAGACAAAAGATAAACCTCGGTAGCTATGAATTTAGTACTGTAAAGATAAACCTATGTAGCTATGGATTTAGTACTGTAAAGATAAACCTCGGTAGCTGTGGATTTAATACTGTATAGATGAACCTTGGTAGCTATGGATTTAGTACCGTATAGACGAACGCTGGTAGCTATGGATTTAGTACTGTTAGATAGACGATGATAGCTATGGACTTAGTACCTACACTGGTAGCTATGGATTTAGTACCCAATGAATGAACCATAGCATCTATGGAATTAGTGTTTTACGAAGGAACCTTGGTAGCTATTGTCTTAGTGCCTAATACGGAGTGAACGAATAGATGACTCTTAGGGTAGACCCTTAAGAGTAAGGAAGATAATGAGGATGAGTAATTGGAATGATCGTTTGATGATTGAACATATATATATATATATATATATATATATATATATATATATATATATATATATATATATATATATATATATATATATATATAGTATTGTGGGTTGAAAACCCTATATGTTCACTAGGCTCCCAAGCCTTACCTACTTAGTTTTCTTTGCATTACAGGTAATGGCACAAGAGTATAAGTTGGTGGACTTGACGAGAGATTTTGGATTATAGATCAGTAGTTATAAATAACTGTTGTAAGATCTATTTTATATTGTTTATGCTTTTGGTCTATATCGGAACAAGACATCCCGAGATTTTGTTATTTAACGAAAATACATTTCTTTAAAGAAATGCTTTGATAAATTCATATCATATTTTGTTTTGGGAACAAATTCCGCAACTGTTTTTCTATAAAAGATTACTCTGATTTTAAAAACAAAACATAAACAAATCGGTCTTTTCTGGTCGTGAAATTGGGGATGTCACCTCAATAGATAACGTTTCTTCACTCTTAACTTGTTTAGATCTCGATAATCAATACACATACGGTGAGACCCATATTTCTTCTTCACAAACAGAATCGTTGCTCCCCATCCCTCTGTATATTTGGAAATTATGCATTACGTCTTAGGAATGACTAGAATTGAACGAAGCACCATAATCCATCGTCTAGGATCCCATTGAGTTTTTGACACAACAAATGAGGACGTCATCTTTAGAATATGTTTCCATATTACTTTCAGACTCTTTGTATTTCAAAGGCTCGGGCGCTGATTTCTGAAATGACTTTTCTTATTACAGTTCCAATAGGTAATACCTTTCATGTTGTTTGACTAATCTCTCTTTATTGACTTCGATCTTCCTCTACCACTGATCCTTTTGTTGGACTTCCTTCATTTGTTTTCAGTACTTAGAAGACTACTAGAGGCTTTGTCAACACTCCGTCCGTGCACATCCTTACGAAGCTTTAAATAGTGTATACCTTTGAACGTCAGCTTAACACCTCCGACTAAACTACTAATTGTTGTTATCGTTCCAAACCAACTTTTAGACAACAATGATAATATTAGCAGCACCTGGACTTCATCTTCGAATCCAATATCAACAAATATGAATCTTGATTGAGTTGAATTCGTTCACATGGTCTGTCACCGAACTACCCTCCTTTGTCTTCAGATTCATCAACTATCATATCAAAAACACTTGATTTCTTGTTGAATGTCTTTTATACATATTGGATAATGCTCTGATCAAACCGTATGTAGTCTTCTCATTGGCAATATTGTAAGGTATGTTCTTTGCCAATAATAATCTTACTATGACAAGAGCTTGTCGATCCAATAAATCTAAATCCACCTACTTCATAAGAAAAGGTTTCTCTTTGGACAAAAGGTTCATGTGACAAAAGGTTCATGTAAATTCTTTTGGTAGAGATAGTCTTCGATTTGTATTTTCCAGAAACCAAAATCATGACCATCAAATTTGTCGATCATAACTTTCTCATCTTTGGGCATAGCAAACGGTAAACTGATAAACGATTTCTATAAACTCGCGGAATAAAAACTACTAAAAATATGCAAACGGAAAACTATAAAATCGAAAGACGGTATTTAACATGATTTGGTCTAATCTAACCTACATCCACGGATGAACGGGAGAGAATATTTTATTAACATGAAGAAAATTACAATTATACAAGGATAAACGACACTTGTATGCAAATGGAAAATAGTAAAATTGAAAAATAGTATTTAACATGGTTTGGTCTAATCTGACCTACATCCACAGATGAACGAGAGAGAATATTTTATTAACATCAAGAAAATTACAATCGACAATGATAAACTGCACTTGTAATCTAATCAACTATTGTAAGATATTACTTTTACTTTTTACGGTTGAAAATAAGACTATGTTGAAAACTACCTCACAATAACTCTTGTATTTTCTATTATGTGTTTGTTTCTCTATGTTGTGGGATCAGAAATTGAACATATGACATCCTACCTCCTACTTAGTTGTTAGTTTAGAATCTCTAAATAGATTAGTGTGGTTGATCTACTACTTGACTTATAGGCATCTACTCTTCAAGCTTCATTAAATATGTTCAACCACAGTTCAAATACAATTGAATTGTTTATAATGTCAAATTACACGTTTGGCCCTTAACTTAAATTAAATGATTTATTTTTCATGACTCCACTAAACCCAACATTCTTATCTTACTATCTCATCATTCACTATAGGCTCAAATTTATGGGCCATTTTATTATTTTCTATGGATCTCTCTAAATATAAGTTATTTATCATGATTAAACATGTAATTTCTAGATAACACCTAAAGAAACATGAAGGAAACAAAAGCCAATATAAATGAACCTTTGTAAAGGTTTGATTAAGATTACAATGGAAAAACTAAAACTGAAAACAACTGCACGAGAGCAACTTGAGCACGTGAATTGTTCATTTTCTAGACAATGAAACGACTATATTATAGTATCTTATTTTTTTCTTAGCAAGCTGTAGTGATACATGCTTCTTAAACTTGTCGAATAGGATGTCTATTATGGAATTTCCGAAATGAGAGGTCAATAATGGTTCCATAACAGCTCTCAAAGCTTTTGCTGCATTTTCCCCGTGGATATGGCTAGGCACATCAAAATCCTCCGTACTTATATAATCTGTATCATGTGGATCCCAGTTGACTTGAAAAACATTCAACATATCAAGAGAAAACGACCCCTCATTCTGAATAATGTTCCTAACTTCATCTTCACATGGATTATAGTATGGTATATTGAATGACTTAAAGTCTGATTCTTGGATCAGTCCCTAAAGTGTTGGTTTATATAAGAAAATATTAATTATTAATAAATCACTAAAACAAATCTAAATATATAATTAAAAGAAATAATAAAAAAAACTTTTACCTCTTTGAGTAGTTCGTGAAGTGATTGGGCTAGTAGCTTCCAGATAATGCAACAGTCGTCACTGGTTGGATCAGCAATACTCCGGCCAACAAATGTTAACACCATGCATCCACCTTGTACTAATTCCTCAGAACGCATTTGTAAAAACTTTCGGAAATTTGTATCAAATTTCTTCTTATATGCTTCCAACACATTTGGTGGACTTGATTTGGACATGTATATATTAGATTTGTTGTTTTCAATACCTTCAGGTACCTATAACATGTTCCAGGTACTATATATAATATAGTTTGCAAAAGAGTTTGTATCAAGTATCTATAAGAGTTAGATATTGAGATTATGAATATCCATTCACACGTATTGGATATATTTATATTCCTTATATCTAGGAGTTTCTTTTTATCCTTTTATTCTCTTGTTTATCAAGTTAGCTTTTGCATATAAAACTCAGATGTATTATCTTTTTATACACTCATTAATTATAGTTCAATACAAGAAGTCCTAATTTTACATGGTATCAGAGCAACGACTTCTAGGATGCCAAAATTGATCAAAAGCACAAAGAAGATGATAGGAGGCCATGCTCCTTCACAATCGGCTGAAGAAAAATCCATCTTGGATTTATCATCTCCTTACTTTCTCACCCCTGCGGACCATCCAGGGCTAAATTTTGTAAGAGGAAACCTACTAAGTGAGAGCAATTACAACGACTGGCAGAATGAGCTGGCTAATGCTTTGTTTGCCAAAAACAAATACGGGTTTGTTGATGGCTTAATTCCAAAACCAGCAGATGGGTCCAATGATTTGATAAATTGGAAGCGACACAATGCCATGGTTCGCGGATGGCTTGTGAGTGCGATGGAAAAGGAGATCAAGAACAGTGTAAAATATGCCATAACTGCTAGAGATATATGGATATATCTTAAAGACAGGTTTGGGAAGGAGAATGCCCCTTGGGCATATGAATTAAGAAGAGTTGTGACCATGATTCAGCAAGGAGGTATGTGTATTTCAGCTTATTATACTAAATTAAGAGCGATTTGGGATGAAATTCAATCTATAAACCCGATACCCACATGTGCATATAATGGTTGTAAGTGTGATCTTGCAAGTGAATTCAACAAAATCAGAGACAAAGAACGATTGTACGACTTCATAATGGGTCTAAATGAAGAGTATGGACCTGTTAAAACACAGATTTTAAGCAGCAACCCATTGCCAACTTTGGGAACTGCTTATCATCTTGTAAGTCAAGATGAACAACAAAGACAGGTGGGTCTTATGTGAAGCAACACAACTGAAACGTCTGCTTTTGGTATGTATGGGAGGACGTCTTCACACCAATAAGCAAAACCCAACTCATAGAGGAAAGAGGAACGAATGAAGGATGAACGGACACGCACACATTGTAAGAAAAATGGACACACAGCTGACAGATGCTTTGAACTCATCGGGTATCCAGAATGGTGGTCAACCAAAAAAACCCAAAATCACAATCAAACAAAGCAAAGCCAAATCCCCGTGCAGCCACTATCAAAGAAGAAAGTTGCATGCCGAAGTTCACTAAAGAAGAATATGAAAAGTTGCTTCAAATGGTTAGAACAACACACATGAAAGAAACAACCCCAATGGCAAACATGACGAGTAAGACAAATAGACAAAAGTCTTGGATTATTGACTCAGGTGCTAGTGAACATGTCACACATCATGAGGAGTGGCTTAAACCCACCAAAGGTCATAAAAAGGGATCTTTTGTTGTCATATCAAACGGAGACTCCATACTGTTGGGTACTTGATGTTGCGTATTGGGCTCGCTTCCTAGCCCATTTTGTATACGGCATGGGCCTATCCATCCGTATCTTGTTTTACTAGGGTTTGTGTATTAATAGATGCTTGCATGCATCTTTTTCGAAACTGATAGATCGTTGGTTTTACGTGTAATATTGAAGATCTCTTTAGTAACCCTAAAATTCTCTACAGCAAAAGTTCTTTATCGAGCTCTGCTGAGGATTGAACGTTCTAATCATTCGACTCATTCAAATCCATTCTTGAGTATTGTTTCATTGTTTTACTTTCATTATTTACCTGTTGCAAAGATCTAATCGATCAAAGAGTTTTTATATCTCAACAATTGGTATCAGAGCAGGAGGCTGTGTAATTCATACACATCTTTTTTGTGAAAGAAGCTATTAGGTTTTATTCCGCATTAACTAATATTTATTGAGCCGTCACTCCATAATTGGCGTATCTCATTACTTATTCGTTTTGCCCTAAAATTACATATTACAAGTCTGATCTTTCAAACAGGTTAAACGATCAAGCATGGACGATTCTCAATCAAATCCTATCAACATCTCAAATAGTATTGGGTCAACAACAAAGATTCCTATCCTTTACACCCATGATTACGAAGTCTGGGCACATCACTTTGAAGATTATATCATTGGATGTGAAGACAATGGATATCTTATTTGGGAAGCAATCGTATCTGGACCATTCGCTCATTCAGCAACGTCAAGAATCATTAAAACTCAGAAAGAGTATAATGATCTGTTGAAAGATGTAAAAGATGTTGCCCAAGACGAAAAGGATAAATTTCAGTGCAATATTAAAGCATTGAGACTAATCAGATTTGCTCTTCAATCTGACACTTTCAGGCTGGTGAGTTCATGCAGCACTGCTAAAGAAATATGGGATAGGCTACGAGAGCTATATTCCACAGACGAAGATCTTGAGCATTCAATTCAAACCTTACTTTTGTCTGAATTTGGTGAATTTAAGCAGAATCCTGAAGAAACTGTCACTCAGACGTTTGATCGCTTCAATCATCTTCTTAGTAAGATGATTAAACACGATATTGAAAGGAAGTTGGTTGAACAAAAGGTTACTTTTTTAAACGGTCTTAGATCTGAATGGAGAGAAGTTGTGTCCACTGTTAAAGCACATGATCAATTCAAATCTTACTCATTAGCAAAGTTGGTAGGGATTTTGAAATCCCAAGAAAAGATTGTCTTGCAGGAGAAAAATGTGGTTTCAAGCTTGGGGTCATTGGCACTTCTGTCTAAAAGCAAAGGTATAATGGAAGATGAAGATCTTAACTTAGAAGACCATGACCTTACCTCTGAAGACTATGCAATGATGGTGTCAAACCCGAAAAAGTTCATCAAGAAAAGGTTCCCTATCAATAAGAACCGTAATTGGCAGGGAAGTTATAGTTCTGAAAAGGTCAGGGAAGAACCAAAGACAGAAGAACCAAAGAAAGAACCGAAAGCTGAAGGAGATTCGGGAGTGAACTGCTACTATTGTGGAGGAAAGAACCACTATGCCAAAGACTGTGTCCTAAAGAAAATGGCAGAAAAGGATGAGGAGAAAGATGAAGAAGCTATGTTAATGAAAAAGCTGGAAGAGATAAAGAGGAAGAAAACTATCACTAACCCTTCGATGAATGCTTTAATTGTACAGGGTTCTGTAGCGGATGATGAGTTCGGTGGCGTGGAGGTCTGGTCAACTGACTCTGAGGATGATGAAGTCAGGAAGCCATCTCATGGAAAGGCTTATGTTGCGAAAGATGAAGGAAGCGGTGGAAAGTGCTTGATGGTGTCGGATGTATCCCAAATGAGGGGATACAACACAGACAGTGGGAATAGAGACATGAAGGAGCGAGAGGACTTGTGTTTCACAGCAAAACCTCTCAGCGTGCAATTCAACGAGCTTGATGAATTAATCAAGAACGTACTGTAGCACCCGAACGCTCCACAGCACCCGAAGGTATTGTAGCACCCGAAGGTACTGTAGCACCCGAACGCTCCACAGCACCCGAAGGTATTGTAGCACCCGAAGGTACTGTAGCACCCGAACACTCCACATCATCTGAAGGCACAGTAGCACCCAAACACTTCACTACACCCGAAAGTCCCACTGCACCAGAAAGCTCATCATTTGAGGGGGAGAATGCCAATACGTTTTATGACGAAGATAGTCAATCAGAATTGGAAGAATTAGTGAACGCTGAATTGGATCCTTCCTATGATCCAAATTACCCTCCTCTTGTCAAATGGACTAGAGATCATCCTGTTTCACAGGTTGTGGGTGATGTCTCTGAGAAGGTGTTGACCAGATCTCAACTGAAGGCAAAACAAACTTCCTTATTTTCCAAAGTTGAGTTTTGCATGTTTAATTCTTTCGTCTCAAAGGTTGAACCAAAGACGGTAAACACTGCTCTTGATCACTCTGATTGGGTTCAAGCCATGCAAGACGAACTTAATGAGTTCGAAAGAAATAAAGTTTGGCGTCTCATTCTAACTCCTCAAGATGCCTCCGTTGTTGGTCTCAAATGGGTCTTTAGAAATAAAATAGACAAGGAAGGTAACGTAATAAGGAACAAAGCTCGCTTAGTGGTGAAAGGATATTGCCAGGAAGAAGGAATTGATTATGAAGAGACTTTCGCTCCAGTTGCAAGGCTGGAATCTGTTCGAATATTTCTTGCCTATGCAGCGCACAAAAACTTCGAGGTCTACCAAATGGACGTCAAATGCGCTTTTCTAAATGGAGAACTCGAAGAAACAGTCTACGTGGAGCAACCTCCTGGTTTTGTCAATGAGAAGTTCCCAAATCACTGCTATATTCTGGACAAGGCGGTTTACGGTCTGAAACAAGCACCTAGGGCCTGGTATGAAACGCTAACTAAGTTTTTAAAGATGTCCAAATTCAAACAAGGTTCGGTTGACCCAACCTTCTTTCGTAAGAAGGAAGGTAACCACCTTATGATTGTACAAATTTATGTCGATGATATCATCTTTGGCTCAACGAATCCCAGCTTAACAGTTGAATTCAGAAAGCTGATGGAGACTAAATTTGAAATGAGCTCCATGGGTCCGATTAATTTTTTCCTTGGTTTAAATATTAGACAGGGACCCGAAGGCATCTTTATCAACTAGGAAGCATACACCAAAAATCTTCTTGCCAAATTTGGTATGATGGGAGACTCAAAGGTTAAAGTTCCAATGGCATTCGGCACCAAACTCACACCTTCGCTAGAGAAACCGGCAGTTGATATTACGCTATACCGCCAAATGATTGGGTCCTTAATGTATCTTACTGCTAGCAGGCCTGATATCATGTTTTCCGTATGTTAGTGT